TGTGTGTGTGTGTGTGTGTGTGTGTGTGGCAGAGTTAGTCTTAGTAGACCGTCATACATAATATTCCACGGGAGCGGGCCTAGAACTGAGCCTTGTGGCACACCTCCAGTGATATCATACTCCCTCGGACCGTTCTTCGTGTCATACTTCAGGACCCTGTTTTCAAAGTAGTTTGCTACGATCTTAAGAAGGTATTCTGGTACATTCTTCTCTTGGAGGGCCTGCATGATGCATTCCCAATTGGCGGAGTTGAAGGCGTTTCTGATGTCTAGGGTCGCCTGCTCTATAGGTGTCGATGAGGACTTTTGTATCGGCTCCCTACTTGGTAGACTCTATAGATTTGATTAGGTTTAGACGTTGGTGGCATTGTCTCTTTAATTCGGCTATATGTTTGTTCCAAGTTAGTGTTCTGTCAAAGAATATTCCAAGGATTTTGAGTGATGAAGTTTGGTGGATACTTTTTTCATTCAGGTAGAGCTTGGCTGGGTCGGCTTTAAGATTCTTTTTACTGGAGAATATCATAAACTCCGTTTTGGTGGATGAGAACTTGAATCCAGTGTTATTGCTCCAAGTTGTGAGATTTTAAGAGATTTTTGGAGAATGTTGCAGATATAAGGAATGTTGTTCCCTGAGCAGTAGACTGTCAGGTCGTCGGCGAATAGCAATGAATGAGCTGGAGCTAAGATTTGCTTAGTTACTTCGTTAATTCTAATCAGGAATAAGATGACGCTAAGGACTGAGCCTTGGGGAACTCCATTCTTGATTTCTCTAGGGCTAGATAAGGTGTTGTTGACTTTGACTTGGATGGCTCTGTTGCTTAGAAAACTCTGTATGAAGTTAAGAATATGTCCATGGAGTTTAAGTTAATTTCGGAGGATGTTTATTACTCTAGGTCTGTGGAGCATTTTGTATGCTTTCTCGAGGTCTAAGGAAATTGCAATGACTGACAATTTATTTGCGAATGCGTTTTTAATAAAGCTATGAAGTTCGTGGAGGTGATGGTTAGTGGAGTGCGTTTTTCTGAACCCATTTTGTTTTGTTGAGAACCATTGGAGGTTTTCTATGTACCAGGTTAGGCGTTGATTAATCATTTTTTCCATGATTTTTCCTAGATTGCAAGTGAGAGAGATTGGGCGGTAATTTGTAGGTCTAGAGTGGTCCTTTCCGGGTTTTGGTATTGGGATTATTGTTGCTGTTTGCCAGATCTTGGGAAATTCGTTATGGTTCCAGATGAAGTTATACATGTCGAGTATTCTTTGTAAGCTTTTTATGGAAAGATGTTTGATCAGGATCGCAGGAATTTCGTCTGGTCCTGGGCTTGAATTTTTGCATTGTTTGAGGACATCGTTTAGTTCTTCCATCGAGAAAGAAGCGTTTAGTTGGTCGGTTAATTCATTTGATTCATTGTTTATTTGGTGGTCGGGAGGAGATTGGAGGTGGTGAAAGTATTGTTGATTTTTAATGTTAGAAAGGAAAGTTTCGGAGAAGTTCTCATCACTTGAGTTGAAGGAGAACGAGTTAGCTAGTAATTCAGCTTTGTCTCTATCAGTAGTGACTGGGTTGTTGTCTTGGTCTATGAGAACAGTTGAAATGTTGGATGACTTATTGCCGTTGATTTTCCTTATTTTCTTCCAAACCTGGTCAGTAGGTGTTTGTGTATTATGATCTGAAAATCATCTGTGTTGGTCAGTTTGACATTATCATAATTTTAAATGCCTTTCATATTTCTTTTTAGGTTGTAATTCTCTAAATCCACGTGCTTACAACCAACCTCAATTTTTTTGACATTTAGCATTAGATTATTTTATTAATCGATACGTCTGAACTTGCTAGTTTTTTAGGTTGCGATCGTATTTTTTCTTGCCATTGTTACTAAAGTTTTGTTCTCTTTTTATCGCTTATTGTTTTGCCCCAACTTCCAGGCCCTGGTCCAGAGTATTCTACGGCTTCTGGGCGACCTAATCCTTTAATTAATCATAAAAATTGGTAATTAAGAGGGACAGACCGCGGAAGTGTCAGGAAATTTCGACCGAGGATGAGTTGAATCTTGAGGATCCGACATCTCGATTATATTCTGATACACCTTTGAATTTCTCCAAGGATTCCAATAAGTTGAGATTTAAGGGGGTATTCTAGTGTAGAATTTTGGAAAAATCAAAAATTTTTTTTTTTCATATTTCCAAAGTTTAGGCATTCAAGAATATGCGTTTAAAAGGATTCTTTAATATTCCTATTATTTCACGAGTTATAGCCGTTTTAGTGACGTGGCATCGGTTCCGGTCTGACCGCTACAAGTTGACAAAAGACGCTGGGCGTTCCCGAGTCCCTACTTATGAAGGTCCTTTTCTATTGTATTGTATCCCTTTTAAGTTAAATCTATATTTAATTGAAGGTCATAGAAACTGGTTTTGTTGGAATATTGTCCTTTTAGTTTCATTTTAAGTTAGTTTTGAGGTAACCTTTATACTGAGTGGAAGTACTAGCTCTGACAACGTGTTTATTCTTGAAGTGAAAATTATTTTGTAAATTTTGTAAAATGGATAGAAAATCTTCGAAATTTAGTTCTGCACGGCCATGCAGATCAAAAAAAAGGAGATTTTCAGGTAATCAATTTACTGTAGAAGAAGAAACCAGTTTCACTAGTGCATCTGCAGCAAAATTAAAAAATTCGCAGGATGAGGAAGTTATAATTAATAACAATTACGGTTATTGTATTCTAGAATTTTTTTCTGTTTTTACCACGCTTTCAACATTGATCCTGTGTTCAAGAGGAATAGCTGATTAAAAATATGTAAGTATTCTGTATCATTCTATAAGTAAAATTGTCGAAAACTTGTCTCAAAACTTTGAACGCGTTTTTCTCGAAACTACTTTTTTCGAGCTGGCGGTAAGGATATATCGAGTTCTAATGGACCGATTTACTTCAAATTTGGAGAGGATGTTCTTTATACATCTCTTCATCGGGTGGCCCTTGCCCAAAAATATAACTTCTCATTTAGTATTTTTAAAAAATTCGGAATTGTTAAAAAACATGCAAAAAAAAAAATTTTTTTTTTTCAAACTTCCGCCATTTTGTAAAAAAATTTTTTTTTAACTTATTCAAGGGTGATATGATAGCGACATTTATAATAATTAAGAATCCGTCTGGTTTTTGTTTTTCAGATCACCAGGAGGGTTGGAAGAATGCACGCCAGGACACCCTCTTTTATTTAGACCCCCCACTTTGACTACTTGTAACTTTGTAAATTTTAATTTTTTTTTTTTTATTAATTTTTTTATGTATTAATAACAAATCAATAAACAAATGATAAAAAAATTGATAGTAAAAATATTTTTTTTTTCCTTTGTAGAGCGCTTCAAAAACCGGGCGAAATTCATGCCTCTACACTAGAATACCCCCTTAATTAAACAATGTGTTCACATAATTATATAGCAATTTGAATAATTACCTTGAGGTTCAATTTTTATCCCTGCATAAACAGAAGGAGTTAGTTTATGATGTGAAGCAACAACCCAATCATGATCAGGTAATGCCACTCGATATTCAATATGCATAAGTAAAGGAGTTTGTTTATTTGCTGCTGGAAGAAGGCCTAATGGGACTTTATTTTTATCATCTTGAGATATCCATCCTACTTGTCCAGGACCCAAAAGAGAAGCAATTTCTTCTAAACTTCTTATTGTTGAGGCAGCAAACAGTCCGTCAGGATGTCTCTTGTGTGAATTTGCTCGTGCTCTACTTAATTTTACTGGAAACGTATTTGAATGTCTTCTTCCTTCAATAGTTGTACTATTTCTTGGTAATAATCATAAGTATGTTGCACTACGACTGAGAGTGAAGCCAAGTTCGAGCAGTCGCTCATGAAGTTCATTTATTGTACGAACACAGTGTACTACTTCAGTTCGCCGTTTAGAATCAGCACCACCTGAAAACGTCGCAATATCGAGAATAGTTTTAAGTAAATCTGATTGGGTACGTTTAATTTTTGGTCTACCAGGTATTTTTTGTAATTTTAACACTTCTTCAACTCCTGAAATTTTAGCGGCTTTCTTTAGTTTCAATTTTTGTAATGATTTAAATTTTTTTTGCCGATTCGCATTACTTTCTTTCTTTTTTAAAGCCTTATTTTCTCTTGTAATTTCGTTACGTAGATTATTGATGTCTTTTTGAATACTTATCTCAGCCAATCCAGAATCTCTTTTTAACTCTTTAGAATGAAGTTCACTATTGAAAATAGCAAGTTTCTCTTTTGACTGCACTTGAGATGGTGTAGCATATTTTTT